CCTTGTTCTATCTGTAAATATTACTCTGGCTTTACTATATACCTTGATACTGCCTCAGATTGGGTAGAATAGGAAAGCAACCACGGAACATAGGACAATTTTTCTCATATAATTTTACGAAAGTCTTATATACATGTAATCCCTGTATTTGTAATGATCTTTGTGTTTCATTGTTCAGGGTCAGGAACATGGCCTCTGGACAAACCACGTTCCACAGCTTGTTCAGTGAGTAACATTATGCTACAAATTGACATGTTTTAGTTTTTGTCACGCTACAATGTGTGGTTCCAGACAATATTCATACTCTCCTACAGTTATACCATTCTAGATACTCCCTAAAAGACTTTTTAGGGTTTGATCTCCCCTACCCACCTCTCTATAAATTCTAGTTTAGCAGGTGCTATACTTTCCTTTAAAAGATTTGAGCTTTTGAATCACCCATCGATCCCCTTGGGGAAGGGTATAGTACCGGCTTGAAGGGGACTGGCTGCTTAATAGAGGTAAAAACAATGGGCAAAGACATCATTGGGACTTTGATTACTGGCCGCCTAATAGGGGTGGCCATATAATAGATGGCCATTTTGTAGGGGTGCGATTGTAGTTTCATTAAGTTGTAAGAAATTATCTTTTTATTTTCAGGTGGTTAACCAATCCTGGTGTTCCTGTAGAGTTACAGACATTGTCGCTTGGATCTTTACAGTTATTAATACACGTAGATGACAACTTGATATCACAAGGTTTCTTTCTTCATATCATTCAGTCTTTTTATTGTATTGCTTTTACACCATTGCTAGTGTGTGTCGACATAAAATGTAGACTAATATTTGTTTTTAAAAAAGTTGTGGAAGCAGCTTTCTCTCCTGGACTTGAAACACCGTTGAGCCCCTTGTTACAGACACTTCCACTCAAAAGACAATCTCTTATCACACAGGCTATGAGTAGTCTTTCTGTCACTTAGTCCATCATGTGTGATGCAAAAGGAAACAGCTAGAAAAAATATCTGTGCAAAATCCTGGGGGTAAGATGAGCGCACTTCTCACCCCCCATATTTCACGCAGCCAGTTTTTCTTCATGTTTTATATATGGTCACGCTCGATGGACTAAGTAAAAGAGGGACCGCTTGTAGTCTATTATTACAGACAGTTCACTCGGTCCCAACAAAACCAGATTGATTTCACAACGCTGATATTGCTACCTACAGATGATGCAGGTGGAGTTAGTCGGCAAATGGCTAACTGGTTGAAAAATGCCAGCACGGTGTCAGCACCTAATCCTTACCAGAGACAGATATTCAGAGGAGGAAAGGCTAAGGGGGTTAGAAGTTTGTTTTAATTTAATAATTATTAAAGTGCTACTGTGACCAAAAATCAATTATACTTTTTCTTTGTATTTCAAAACTGTATAACTGAACCACTAAGTGATAAAAGTTTTAACCCTTCATGTCAAAAAGACACCTGTTTATTTTGACTGAAATTTTCGTAATAAATGGTCTGCCATTACTAACTTTAAAATCTTGAGAAACTTGTTGTGTGAAGGAAACCACTGTTCATATTAAAAACATGTGAATAAATCAGCTCTACAGTCTTAAGATTTGAGATTTTGCTATGGCCTTCCTGGTGCAAACTCCTTCAAGAACAGGCCCCAGGTTCAGCTTGGCGATTATTTAGGCAATGGGACAAATCAGTTATGATTAGGCATAACATGTAACTTACATCCATTCCCTGGATTGATTTCTGACATATAGATGCTAATGTTAAAAGATGAAACTTTCATATTAAGCTTGCTTAGAGCTATGATTTTTAAGTATAAAAAAGTTACTACAGTTCATGATTTGAGTTAATTTTAGTTCTTATCTTGTTTCGTTTCTTTGCAGTATCAGCTGGTTACTGAAGTTGATGGAACATCATCAAGATATTTTTTCACAGTGTTGAGTATTGGTAAGCAGAGAATTACTCTGACATAAAATAAAAGAGAAAATCCCGACATACAATGATGAATGCTAGAGAGAATTTACTTTTCTACATGTACATGTATGTTTATTTCTTGTGGGAGGTGTGATGAATAACAGTTATTTTATTCAACTTGAAGTCATGTTATCTGTGTTTTAGCCTTGTCCGGGGTCACTGTATTGTGTTCTTGGGCAAGGCACTGTTTACTCTGACTCATAATAGCTCTGCTTGCCAGGGAGTACAAAGGGGTAAACTATTAGGGAAAGCTAGCAAATAAACTTCAGTTATTCAGAAGCCCATTGTGCATGGAGGATACCCACAGTACCTCTAGTCTGTTCGTGTTGCAGAAGGCTGGATAATGTACAGTGTTTTTGGCGTCTTTGGCCCAATTGCAGATGTTACCCTTGATTGTTGCAACACATAATGTCAGACCAGTTGAGAACAGTACCGCTCAAAACTAAGTTACCACCTCTTGTCTCATTTCTCTCCAGATGAGAATCATGTTTCGTGATGTGAGAAATGCATATCAAGAGACCAGAGTCCAGTTAATAACTGTTTTGCATTTTTTTTT